CGCCTCGCCTCACGAATGAAAAACGCCTCAATACTCGAATACGCAATTTTAAACATTGATTATTAGTAATGATCTCTTTTTTGCTATTATTAATTTCTTTGCTGGTAATTATATTCCTAAGTTTTTTTACTTCTATTTCTATTGTGCTTATCCCGAAGAATAACTCTATTAGTAATTGGAATTATTTTAGACATATTAGTTAGTGCATCTTTTTTTATAAACTGCTTACTAAATTTTGATGAATCATTTAACAGTGTTATTGCCTAAAATTATCTCTCCTTTTCAAATGGGTTTTGTGAAAGGGCATGCTATTGCTGATAATATCCTGTTAGCTCAAGAATTTTGTCAAAATCTGAATATCAAGGTTAAAGGTGATAATATGATTCTGAAATTTGATTTTGTCAAGGCTTATGATAACATTGATTGGAATTTTCTTTATATTATTATAGAGTTGTTTGGCTTTGGTTTGAATTTTATCAATATTATTAAACATTGCATTGAAGGTCCCTATTTTTTATCATTGTTAATAAGAGCAATGATTTTTTTTAAAGCTTCTCATGGGCTGAGACAAGGTGATCCTATTTCTCCTGCCCTCTTCATTATTGTTGCTGAGTATCTTTATAGAGGTCTTGCCAATCTTTTTAAGAATTATCCTAACCTCTATTTTAGAACCTTGGGTGGTTTTCCTATCTCTCAATTATGTTTTGCTGATGACTTTATCGTTTTGTCTTGGGATTCTAATTTTTTGAGTTTTGGAGATCGGTTAATTATCTTTAAAAGTGTTCTTTGTTCCTTGCCAGTTTATATTTTTCAAACTTTGCTTCCTACTCAGGCGGTTTGTAACAGGATTGACAGGATTTTCAATATTTTATTTTTGGAAAGGGGCTAGTAGCACTTCTAAAATCAACTTGTCCTCTTAGGACAAATGTTGTGGTGCCCTGGATGAAGGGGCTTTGGGGTGTAAGACTATGGATTTGGCCTATTCTTTTTCTTTCAAGTTATGGCATAACTTTTGTGGTAATATGAGCCTTTGGACTAATTTTATGGTTGTCAAATATTGTTGGGGTAAACATCTTACTATGTGCTGGTTTAGCAAAGGTGACTCTAAAGTGTGGGAGCGTCTTTGCAAAGGTTAATGGGTTGTTGAACCATTTATCTATTGGGGCCTTGGTGGTGATAATGTTTTCTTTTGGCAAGATCATTGGTTGGAGGGTCAATCAATTGACTCTATTACTAATATCTCTTCCAATGCGACTTTGAAGGTGAATTATTTCTTTACTGATAATTGTTGGGATTATGAGAAACTTTCTAGTATTCTTTTTTATTCTATTATTCAGCAAATTTTGAATCTTCCTCTTAATACTAATTCTAATGATGTTCTACAGTGTTTTGACTAAAGATGGTAGCTTTAGATTAAAGGATGCTTGGCATTCCTTTAGATCCAAGCATGAGGTTTTCAATATTTTATATATGATTTGGCATAAAAGTATTCCTACCACAATTACTGTGTTTGTTTGGAGAATCTTGCGTAAGTTCATTTCTATGAATGATAATTTAATTAAAAGAGGCTTTATCCTTCTGTTTAAGTTCCAATGTTGTTATCATATGGATAATATGCATCATGTTTTTCTCTCTGGTCCTTTAGCTGTCAAAACTTTGTCTTATTTTGATAACATTTTCCATTTAAATTGTTTAAGTGCCAAATTATCTATTAAGCTATGATTAATTGTTGGTTTATGAAGTCCAAAGGCCATATCAGAAATGTCATTCCTTTCCTTATCTTATGGTATTTATGGTTGGATAGGAATAATTCTCGTTTCAATAGTGTGGTTATGAACCATCATAGAATTATCCAAAATGTGAAAGATAAGGTCGTGGCTCTTTATTCTACCAAGTTGCTTCTGTCAGGAACTTTAAAAATTATTTTTTGATTGCGGCTGATTTAGGTCTTAAGTTGTAGGTGGATAATCTTCCTAAAGAACCTAGGTTTATTTATTGGACTAAGCCCCCTATTAACTCTTATAAGCTGAATGTAGATGGTGATATCATGGATTCTAATGTGGGTTGTAGTGGTGTCAACAAAGATTCTCTTGGTAATTTTATTTTGGGTTTTGTTGGTCCTTTACTTAATGGTGGTGTTAACTTTGCTACTACTATTATTCTCCATGGCTTCAAACATTGTTGTTCTATTGAACTTACTAATATTGTTATTGAGGTTGGTTCTAATTATTGCTTACAATCTTTTAACATTGTGGATGATACTGTTTGTTCTTCTGCCATATTTTATATGATGAGAGATATTAAGAATTTATTGAGCCTTGTGAACTGCATTTTTTCCATTGTCTTAAATGATGATAATGCTTGTGCTAATTAGATTGCCAGGTTGGGATGTGGCTTGGATTATATGGCTGATTTTCAGCTTCTAACCTTCCTTCTCCTTTGAAAGGCCTTTTAAGTTTGGATAAAATTAGTTTACCTTATATTAAATTTTAATGATACTGCTTGGCTTCTTGCTGGTTGTCAGGTTGGGTTTCTGCCAACTTCTCTGTTTTTGTTGCCTTGTCTATTGTTTTTTATTTTTTTGGGTGGTCGTGCTTGTTGTTTGGTTTCTTGGATCAACTTGCTATTGCCTTGATCTGGCTGAGGCTTTTTGTGGTTGTTTGGGTGACATATTTAATTTCCATTTCTGCTCTTTTATGGCTAGTTGGTGTTTGCATTTTTGGGGTGATTCTGCGGCTTGGTGGCTGGGTGTTTCCTGGTATCTATGGGGCGTTGGGCTTTGGGGCTCGTTTATCTGTAGTCTTTTCCTTAATGCTTTTGGGGCTATGTTTATTTCCTAGGGATTAAGCATGGAGGCTTTTCCTTGGATCTTCTTGGTTGGTCTGCTGGAGGTTGGTAAGGCTTTTTGTGGGTTGTTTTTCTATTCTCTATGGCAGGGCAATTTTGGGGCTATGCTGGCGATTTTTGCTTGGCGTTGCTCGGCTTGGCTTCTGGGTGTTGGTAAGGTGTATTGTATTTTGACCTTTGGCTTCCTGAGGTGGTTTTACTTTGGAATGTCGCTGGTGTTTGTTCCCAGCTGGTTTATTTTTCTTGGGTTTACTCTGTAGGGTGCCTCTATCCTGGGCTACCAGGAGGAATATTTGTTTTCTCACTATTGTATTTCTAATTACTTTACCTTGTTGGGTTTTCTTCCTCTTCTTTCTACCGCTCGACTGCTTTAGTTCTATTGTTGCTACTGTTGGTTTTATGTTGGTAGGGCTATCTTTGCTAAGATGGAGGAGAACATGTATTGGGTTTCTTTTACTCTCTTTATGACTTTGCTAAGCTGGATTATGAGGTTGTTGATGTCCTTTCTGGTGAACTAGTTGATACTATTTTGGTTCTTGTTATTGCCTATTGTTGCTTCCTTTTTATATGTATTATGAATATTTGCTGGATCTACCAACATGCTACCATTTGTGATTATTTGTGCTTCTTCTATTTTGGTCCTCACCCTTTTTTGCAGAATTTTATTAGTGTAGGTATTTGTGGTGATGCTATTTTGGATGTGAAGCAGATTTTTTGGTACTTTCCTTCTTTTTGGGTGCTCTTTCTTGTGCACCATAGATTGTACCTAGGCTTATATGTCTTTTTGCTCAGTAGGAACCTCGAGCTCTTAGGACTTTTTTGCTTTCTTTTTGTAGCCCTTCTGAGCATTAGCGAGCTTGAGGGCCCTTTAAGGACTATATTTTTTTTCTATTATTAACGCATAGGCCGCTCTGTGAGTTTTCCCTTAAAAAAAATCTCAATAATATCTTTTATAATGATCAATATTTTTATTAATTACATCACCCTTAATTGAAGATGATGATGGCACAATCTTTCAAGAAAAGAAAAAAATATTTCTTTTCATATTTGGATGATAGAATTAAATTCTTTTCAAATTTAAGTAAAAAATATGATGGTAATCAACTTCATATATAATGAAAATAGAAGCATAATAATTTTTAAAACACAAATTTTTTTCTAAACTAATGATAACAGTATTCTTTCCATTGATGGATTTTAAGATGATATGTATTATTTTTCATATAATAAATTGCATTGAAAAAAAAAAGTAGAAGTATTTAAATTTCATTTAAAGTCTATTCCTATCGTAGTATTCCAAGCTTCCCGGTATGGCCATGATATTTTACTTCTTGTGAGTATTAAAAGTCACAGGAATGACAAGATTACTTTTTCCCACTGTTGGGCATGGAATTATTTATAAAAAACATATGTATTCACATATCCTAAAAATTTTCAATTCTCTGTTTATTACATTGAAATAAAACACCAAAAATGAAAAGTGAAATAAAATGAATTTGCATTGCCTCAAATTTCATAAAAAAAGACCTTTAAGCCCTATGTTTGGAGTAATTGAAAGGCAGACAGTGTAAAGAAAATGAAATGGAAATAGTAAAGAAATTTAAATGGAATTTATTTTCACCCTTTTATTTGTTGCAAAACATGTTTTCTTATTACTAGCTTAATGATGAAAAATGAAGCTTTTTTTTTTTTGTACTTCTTGTAATGATATGATATGTGAACCACCATGATGTCCTCATAATTTTTTTTTTCTTCATGTTCGTTTACTAGGGTTGGGCAGGAAATTTTCATAGCATTTATTCACATTTCCTATAAATATAGGATTACCTTTCAATTGCGTTAAAAACAAAAGCACTTGAGATAAACTTTTGAAGCAAAATGCATGCATACTACCTCTATTTCCCTCAAACCAAACAGAGCCTTAATTTTGCAAAGGTAAAAAAATAAAAGGAAATCCCTTTATACTGCAGAATTTATTAGAATCTTGCTAAAAGATGGAAATTCTTCGAATTTAACTCAACGAGGTCAGCCAGGATATATCAACAACAGTTAATTTCATGCAGCAGCAAGAGTACATATAATAATGATTTTTATTGTGTTCAAGGAGCAAAAGAAAGGAAGTTCTTTAGCCAGACTTGTTTAAAGTCACTGACCTTGAGATTGCTCTGGCTTCTGTGAGGATGTAGAAGAACCCATGGGGCGAAAAGAAGAGAAGCTTGAACTGTAAGTGCCTCTTGTGCCAATCTTATTCTTTGAGAAAGGTGAGGAGAATAAGAGAAGCGACGGTGACCTAGTGTGCCGTGAAGAATACGCAACAGAGGGAAGGCACGGGGTAAAAAGAAGAAACCCACCTGCAGTGGCCATTAGGAAGTAATTGGCAAAATAGCAAATTAGTCGCAGGGTCTGCACGATTCTTGATGAGAATAAGCAGGCACTTGTGCGAGAGCACCGATCCACCGATCAAACCTCTGGTGTTCGAAGCAGAATCGTGGTCATTATTCCAGCACACCCTCGATTGGTCTCGAATGTTAGAATGTACATTCTACCAACAATCACATAAGTGGGCATCAAGAAACACCTTCAAGTTATTCGGTTGTCTTCATTAAAAAGTTCCTTTTAAATTTAGACAACATGCTGAGTACTCTCTAGCGGCTAGGGTTTTCTCCTCCCGCCCTCGACCCCTCCTGTCTTCACTTTCTCCTCCCTCCCTCCGGCGATGCCGGAGGGAACTTCCTCCCCCTCACCTAACATGGATGGTTCTCTTCCCTCCTATGATTTCCCGCCGCTTGTTACATCTCCTGGAGGTCAGGTTCGTGTGATTTCCAAGAGCTGGAATAAAGTTTTTGAGCCATCAAATACTTCTGCAAATCTATTAAAGTTTTCTCACTTTCCCTCGGAACTGGATATCATCCCTTTCTCTGGGGAGAAGTTATCCAACAGAGGGGAGGACTTGAAGCTATGTCTGGTTGGATATTCGATAGGGAGGCGCCCCTACTATGAAGCGTTGCTAACTGCTGTTAAAAAAACTTGGAACTTGGAAGGTTCTGTTCAACTCTTACATCTAAACGACGGATTTTTTCTATTCCGATTCTCTTGTGCCAAAGATTTCGACTTGGTATGGACGAGAGGTGTCTGGTTCATTTTGGGGAAGCCCTTCGTTCTCCAAAAACGACATCCGAAATTCATTCCCAAAAGGGAAGACTTTGCGACCGTGCCAATTTGGGTGAAGATTCATGATCTTCCTCTTGCTTGCTGGAACTCAGAGGGGATATCGAGGATTGCTAGTAAAATCGGAGTACCGGTTGCTGCTGATAGCTTGACGGAGCAGAAAACTAGACTTACCTTCGCCAGGATATGTGTTCTGGTCGACTGCAAGGCTACATATCCGGAGGTGGTTCAGGTATCTTTAGATGGGGAAGTGGTTAGTTTGAGAGTGCAATATGAATGGCGCCCTTTTCCCTGTCAGCACTGTAAGTCTTTAATGCATTATTCTTCTTCTTGCTCGAAAAATCCAGAGAATGAACCCAATGATCTAGGAAAAGATATTAGTAAGGAAATGCATAATAACAGGGGAAGGAGCACTAGCAGGAGGCCTCGTTTCCGGCCTAACGCCATTCCAGATAATGTGGCTAAGATTCCGGTCTCTAAAATCAGTAATCATGAGCCTATAAATCCTCAAAACACTCATAATTCTCAAGACTCACCTTCCTTGGTCATAGGACATCCTCTACAATATCAGCCACATTCTCCTCCTCCTAGTATTTTGAAATCTAGAACTGAAGATATTGTTTCAGAGCCGCCTAATATGGACATCCCTCTTATTGGGGATCCTTTTAGTTTGGACATTCCTAATCTAAACTCCCCTAATGATGATGCGTCCTCCTCATCAACTAACCTTCAATCTCAATCCACATATGTCGGGAAGGTTTTTGTCTCTCCCAATAAGTTTGACCTTTTAAACGATGTGGGGGATGTCAGAGACCCTGCTTCTATTTCGACTGAAAATTTAGAGAGTGATGCTCTATCTGTTGAAGATGTTGGGAAGGAGAAAATTACGAAATTGTTTGTAGGGCTCCGAAAATTCGGCCCCGGCCTCCGCCCGCCTTTCTTATTCGGCGAGGGAGTTTTAACAGACTAAGTTCCGAGGTAAATTTTGGAAGGCAGATGGGTTTGTAGATAAGACACTACATTGTTAAATAAGCAGAGTAAAAAACAAGAATCGACAACAGTAAAGAAACCTGCTAAGGGGAGCAAGGGAAAAAGCCCAAATCTAAGCATAATTCTTGATGTCTTTTCCACCCATAGCTGCGTGGAATGTTCTGGGGTTCAACCGTCCGGACAAAGTTCTCTTCTTTAAGCGTCTTAGTGAGTCTTTTAAACTTGATTTAGTTTGTATATTGAAGAACAGGATTCATATCCAATCTATTGATGACCCGTTTTTTTGTATATTCTCATAATCTCTTTTTGAATGAGGCTAGCTGCAACAATTTTACTTTCTCTGTATCCGGGAGAATCTGGATGAAGTGGAATTCTTCTAAACTCTCTTTCACTCCTGCTGTCACTACTTCTCAAATGATCTCTGGCATGATCTCTGTGTTTAATCAATCTCTTTTTCAGCTCTCTGTTGTTCATGCGTCTAATAGCACGACAGAACGTAAAACTCTGTGGAATGATCTTACTCTTGCTACACCTGTGTGCAATGTTCCTTGGGCTATTATCAGAGATTTCAATTGTTGCAGATTTGCAACCGAAAAGCTTGGTGGATCTCCTCTTTCTCATTCTTCCCTCAAAGATTTTAACGATTGTATTTTTCTCAATGGGCTGGTGGATCTTCACTCTGTTGGCTGCAATTTCACTTGGTTTAATCAACGTGTTGACAATCTCATCCACATCAAACTGGATAGAGTGCTTGTTAATAATAGTTGGCTGAAGAAATACTCAGAATCTTTCTGCTCCATACAAAATCCATCCTGTTCTGATCACTGCCCTGTTATTTTGCATTCTTGGAGCTCTAACAAGGCTTTCCACCGCTATCTCTTCAAATACTATTAGACTAAGGCGGACAAGTACTGGACTTTGTTATTAGAGGTGTTTTCTAGGCCTTGCACTGGGAATCTGATTTCACATCTTTGCCTCTCTCTCAGGAAATTAAAAAATGATATCAAAATGGAGTCTTGGTCTTCCTCCAGCAGTGTTACTAGGCACATTGATTATCTTAATAATAATCAAAGGTCGCTTTTGGAGCAATGACTTTTAGATCACAATAATGCTGAGCTTAATAATGCTTATAAATCCTATAACAACACGTTGTCTAACTTCAACAATCTTTATGCCTCATGGATCATACAACGGGCCAAGGTTAATTGGCTGAAATTTGGAGAAGATGATATAAAGTTCCTGTATGCTAAGATCAGGAGCCGTATGGGGAGTAGGAAGTCTATCATTAACCTTCTCAATTCTGACCCTTCCTCCAATAGAACTAACGTGATTTCTTCTATCACTCAATACTTTCAAAATTTATATAATCCTCCTACCTCTCTTCTGCTGGGAGTGGAGGATCTTCCTATTGGAGTTGCTGTCCCGTATTGCTACCAACATTCTATGAGTTCCCCTGTGTTAGATGATGAAATCAAGGCTGCAGTTTTTATGGGTTCATCTAGCTCTGCTCCCGGGCCTGATCGTTACAACTTCCACTTCTATAAGACTAGCTCGCATATCATCAGGCCGGCTGTATGTAGAGCTGTTCATTCCTTCTTTGCTAAGTGGTATATGCCCAATGGTGTGAAAGCAACCGCTCTAGCCATTATTCCTAAACACTTTAATGCTGCCAACATTTCTGATTAAAGACCTATTGTGCTTTGTAATGTGTTGTATAAAATTATTTCAAAAATTATTGCAATGAGGCTTAAGCCGATCATGAGCACTATTGTTAAAGACAACCAAGCTGGATTTCTCAAGTCTAGAGTTTCTACTAACAACATCTTGCTAGCCTCTGATATTTTGTTTCATGTGGGGAAAAGAGGCTAAGAGAAATATTTTTGTGCTAAATTAGATATAAGAAAGCGTTTGATTCTGTTTCTAGGGAATTTCTCATTGCAATACTTATTCAGAAAGAATTCCCTAGTCGTTTTGTTAACTGGATCAAAGCCTGTATTTTTTATGTCAATTTTTCTGTCATTCTTAATGGTGCTCTTGAGTGATACTTTCCATCTTCTGTTGGGCTTAAGCAGGGCTGTCCTATGAGTCCTTATCTCTTTTGTATTGTAATGGATGCCTTTTCCAACCTCTTAGAAGTTAGGGGATTCAAGGGGATTTCTATTAATGGTTACGCTATTTCACATTTGCTCTATGCTGACGATGTTCTCATTTTTGGGGAAGCCTCTCTTGAGAACTGCGGCAAGCTGGTTTCTATTCTTAATTAGTTGCTGGTTTGACAGGTCTTCATTTTTATTATGACAAGAGCGCCATCATGTTCCCTAAGCATGTGCATAATCAGATTGTCATATGTAATGCTCTCTCTATACATAACATCACTAGCAAGATCTCTTACCTGGGTATTCCCCTATCTTTCTATAGGCTTGAAATCGAGGATTATATGCCATTAATGGATAGTATTAACAAGAAGTTCACTGGGTGGAAGGCAACTCTTCTTTCTCTGGCAAGAAGACTACAATATCTGAAATTCACAATTCAAAATACTATAGCTTATTGGATTAGCGGGGGGCCATCTTGCCCAAAGCTGTACACAAGTTTTTTAAGAAATCTAGTTCTAGATTTTTGTTTTTTGGGGATGTTAATTCAGCTAAGAAGTTTCATATGATTGCTTTGGATAAAGTATGTCTTCCTTATTCTAAAGGCGGTTTGGGTATTTCTTTTATCCCGGCTTTGCAATTTTCATTCAATTGCTCTGTGATTTTGAGGTTGTATAATAGCCCTTCTCCTTTATCTTCCTGGGTGTTTAGTAGATATAAATTCCCTTGGAGGCCTCCTCCGGCTGCTGCTTCCAGGTTCTGGAAATCAATCTGCTATATGGCTAATGCTGCTAAACACTGTTTCAAATTTAAAATTGTCAAAGGCGCCCCTATTTCTCTGAAATGGGATCACTGGATTGGTGACAACAACTTTAGTGATCTCTTTGGCATTGATTATTTGTCTAATATTCCTGAAATTGCAATATCCAACTTTATTTCTGATGCTGGGTGGATGTTACCTGATTCTTTCTCTTCCAGCTTAAGAGCTGTTTTCTCGGGTATTAATGTCAGTGAGGGTGAGGGGCCGTGTCTGCTATGGTATGACAAGGTGAAAAGTAATTTTAAAAGTTATATGGTGGAATTTCACTCGGATATGATGGATTGTAGCTGATCCAATATGGTATGGCATAAAAGAAACGCCTTAAAATTCTCTGTGTTTGCTTGGCTGGCTAATGTTGGGGGACTTAAAACTGCTGATGCGCTTCGTATTAGGCATATTTTGGTCCCGTCTTTATGCAATCTATGTCATAATTTTGATGAAACAGTTTATCACCTATTCTTTGAATGCCACTACTCATTCTCTATTCTTACTGGCCTACTTCACGGGATGAGTAATTTTCTGCTAAGGCCGAACATATTTCAGGTGTATGACTGGATTAGTGGGAAGTATAATGACAACTCGGAGATTTTAAAATTTTATAAACTGGCTGTCTCTTCTATAATTTACTTTGTTTGGAAAGACAGGAATAATAGAATATTTGGGAATCAATTTAAATGCCATACTTCTTTACTATTATGTATCAAGAGAGCTATGTTTGAGAAGATTTCGAAATGGAGAAATGCAAAGGATTTTTTGAACATACTGTAAGCTGGGTTATCTTGCTGATGTTGCCTAGTGTATATGCAGATATGCCCTCCTGGACAATGATGAAACTCCCCTCACATACCCTTGGATGGCCTATACTGCATGGGCAACTAGGGTTGTGTAAGATCTGTAATTCTTTTCTTATTAGCCTGAGTCCAGGTGCTTTTGGGCATGGGAGTTCTTTTTGGGTTCAATTTTCCTTTGGTGTAGGCCCTTGGTCGTTTGGTGCAGATGCTCATCGCATGTTTTAAGTATTTCTCTCAAGATGTTCAACTGTTGCTTACCCTCCTGACCGTTTTTGAGCTTCCAGCCACTGTTTTTGGCTCTTTTTATAGAATTTTAAATGTAATGGGTGGTATAGTTGGGGTTTCTTGCTTTTTTGTTCCACATAAGTTTTTGTTTTTTTTTTGCTTATGTTGGATAGTTTCTTACTCGTAATCCTTTTTTACCTGTAATTTTTTTCGTCTTTTAATATATGGGCTTCGGCCCCAAATTTCCCCAAAAAAAAAAATTTAGACAACATTGAATCACATTTATCAGGTTGATGAAGTCGGGCCATACTGCACAGCACCAATAGATGGAAAGTATGAGAGACAAATATATATAAGTATTTCAAAAAATAAACAACCCAGAGCGGTGTGAGCTTTGCTAGGGTTTCTTGTGAATCATAAGAAGCTGGTGGTTCTTCCCTTGTCATCCCATTGAGAGGCTGCTCTCCAGGCTTTCTCAAACTTTATTCTCCTTTTTTACATGAATCTTGTTGTGATTTCCCTCTGTAGATGTATATTCTCATACGGGTATCTCACCCGTGACGGCTTCCTCAGATCCACAAGATTGGAATGGGCAACTGACTTCTCGTCGTTCCTTTCATAAAGATTTTTTATTTCTTTTGTTCCCCCGAAAGATAACTTGGTTCCTTTTTTGGATGATGATCTTTCGATTGCTTCAAAATCTTGGCGGTTAACTGTGGTTGGTTACTCTTTAGGATAGAGGTTTTTCTTTGAAAATTTGTGATCTGTGATGTTAAAAGCTTAGAAGCTTCAAGGTATGGTCATGCTTCTTTCTTTGATTGGATGTTTCTTCTTATTGTCCGAAATTTTTGATCTTGTCTGGGGGGGGGGGTTGTTTGTGATTCTTCTTTGGTAAACATTTTATTATTAAAAAAAATGGTCTCCATTTTCTTATCGCAAGCAAGAGGAATTTGTCTCAATTCCTCTCTTGATTAAAAATTTGGATCCCTTTTGTCTGTTGGACTCTTGAGGGTATTTCAAAAATTACAAGTTTAGTTGGTGTTCCTGTTGCGGTTGATTCTCTTACTACTAAGAAATTTCGCCTTATATTTGCTCGTGTTTGTGTTTTGTTTAGCAAGGATTCTCCTATTCTAGATGAAATTAATGTTTCTATAGTTGATACTATTTTTATCTTAAAGGTTCTTTATGATTGGAAAGAGGTCCCTTACACGGACTATGGTTCAATTATTCATCCTCCTCTTTGTCCCTCTAATCCTAAGATTTCTCCTATTGAGAAAGATCTTCCTAAGGGTCGAAGTAGGTCCGTGGTTCTTCTTTGGGAAGCATTTTATTATTAAAAAATGGTTGTTGGTGGAATTTTGAAAACATGTTTTGAAAATATTGGTTTTCTTTGGGAGTTAAAGATAAATTCTAATTCTAAAATCGAATTGTCCGGTTAAAAAGAATATATCACCTCGAAAGATGAAAATAAAATTTCATAACGGCGTTCAGATTTAGAATTATGAAATCCATCTTGAATATTATGACCGAATGCTAAAGAGAACTTCATATGGCCCCGAAGGGTCAAAATGATGTTCAACTGAATATCCAGCTACATTATTCAAGAAGTGTGATCATTAGGTTCACATCCAAAGCCTTATCAAAGAATGATGTATTTCCCCGAAGGGAGAAAATATCATTCGATGATAATTCTTTGAATATGATAATAATGATCACTAATATTTTAAGTTTTCCCAAAGAAATCCAATTGAGTTTTGAAAAATCAATTCTTAAAATCAGGGGAGTGTGGTTCCAAATCTCCTACGAGCGCAAGCCCTCGTAGTTAATTACATCGTAGGGAGACAGAGTCCCGTACGAAAACTCTCGATTAAAATAGTGATGAAATTTTGTTAGATTTTTTAGGAGTGATATCAAAAACGAATGGGATTTTTGGAAAATCAAGAGGGAATGGATCAAAATTGAACA